TTGAACATGCTTGACTGTGAATATAGTTAAGCTGATGGGGATATAGCACAGGATATACAAATCACAAACAATTCCTGTATTCTTCTAACCTGGATGGTTCAAGAGAGCTAGAAGGGACACTAAAACCTAATACTTTGAACACCAAAAAGCATACAGTACTTAGAAGTGAATTTAAAAATTTAGAGTATTTGTACACTGAAATCTATAAAACATTATTGTAAGAAATTAAAGAATCCTAAATAAATGGAAAGATGTCCCATGTTCATGAATCAAAAGATTGATATTGTTAAGACAGAAAAACACTCTTAAATCATTGTACATATTCAGCACAATCCTTGTCAAAACTCCAGCTGGCACTAAAATTCACTGGCATCCAGAACTACTAAAACAATTTTAAAACAATCTTTAAAAAAGGAAAAAAAGAATAAAATTGGAGGACTCAGCTTTCACATTCCAAAACCTACTAAAAAGCAACCTACTACAAAGCTACAGTAATCTAGCCAATGTAGCACTGAAAGATTAACAGATTAGAATTGCAAAATTGAGAAATAAACTCTTTAAGTCAGTTGATTTTTGACAAAGGTGGAAAGGCCATTCAATGGGGAAAGAGTAGTCTCCTCAACAAATAATATGAGTAGAATTAGACAGCCACATGCAAGAAAATGAAATTGAATTCCTTCTTCATACCGTATACCAGACAGATCAGACCTCTAAATGTGAGATCTACAACTGTAAAACTCTTAGAAGGAAGTATAGATATAAATCTTGTGACCTTGAACTAGGTTCTTAGCTATGACACCCAAACATAATCAGAGTAAAAATAAATAAATTAAACTTCATCAAAATAATTTTTGTGTTTCACAGTACCCACTTAGACATTAAAAGACAATAAGGAAGAAGATAATTGCAAGTTATATATCTGGTAAGGATCTAGTATCTAGAAAGTATAAAGACTTACAATGAAAAGTCAAATAACCTAATTAAAAACAGGTAAAGAATTTGAATAGACATTTCTCCAAAGAAGACATATAGTCAATAAATACACATAAATGCTCAATAGCATTAGTCATTGGCAAAATACAATTCAAAACTATAATAATATCCTATTTTGCCTCACTAGGATGGAAAAGGATGGGCTTTGCTGGTGGGAAGGTGAAAATACAACCATTTTGGAAAAGTTTGGCATCCTTCAAAAAGCTAAACAAAGAGTTGCCAATAATTCAGCCATTCTGTATCTAAGTATATGCCTCAAAGAACTGCAAATATGTCCACTCAAAAACTTGTACATATCGTATTCAGAGCAACTTTATTCATTGTAGCCAAAAAGTAGAAATAACCCAAATGTCTATCAACTGATGAATGGTATAAGGTATGGTATATCTGTATAATGGAATATTATTTAGTGATGAAAGGATTAAAGTGTATCGATGCATGTTTTCATGTGGATGAACATTATGTTAAGAGAAAGGGGCTAGTCACAGATAGCTACATATTGTATAATTCCATTTATATAAAATGTCTAAGACAAATCTATGGAAACAGAAAATAGATTAGTGGTTTTCAGGATCTGGAGAGGGAAAAATGGGTATGTAGTATCTTTTCAGGAAAATGAAAATGTTCTCAAGTTGTATATTGATGATGGTTTCAAATGTTTATGAATATACTAAAAAACACTGAATTGTGTATGTTAAAATGATGAATTTTATATGGTTATTGCTTAATAAAATGGTTACAAAGTCAAAGTAATTGATATTTAAGAACACCTATTACTTTGACTTTTGGGGGTTTGGAGTACACATACCACTTCAATTATCTGTTTGTATCTGGATTATCTCAATTGAAGCACAATATAATCTAGACCTTTATTGTCCAAGAAGACTTACAATTTTCTTTATTTTTATCTATCTTTTTCTTTTGCCTTACTTCATACCAGCTAGACATATTGTGTACAGGCAAAAATCGATATAGGATATTATTATAATATTTCTTCTTGGTCTTTTAAAAAACCCTCAATGTTATATTAATTTGTAAACTAGGAGTGGCATATTGTTGTGCTTACATCATTTTGGAAATGTGTTTATTTTCAAAAGTACAAATTTGATTTAGAAACTGCTTCTCTTTTGTTGTTGTTGTTGTTAATTGCATTTAATGACCACATTCTTGAAATGCTCCTTAGCCAGTTCATAAGAATCTTGGGGGTAACTGTAGAAATGATTCATAGTTTGATAAAATGCAGGCAGGTTGAATGTGACTTTTATAACATGACTGTGATCCCAGTTTATGGTATGAATTCGTACATGTCGCTTTCATTTATAAACATGGGATCGAGTACGTTTTATTTCTTGAGTACTCTGGCATAGTGCTAATGAGAAGTATGAGTGTTTTACCCAAAGCATTATATAACAGGAAGCAAAATTTTCTGGGAAAAATAAGAAGTTTGATAGAGAAGATAAAATCTTTTCTTGGAGATGGTCCTTTTCCATTGGCATTCCCGTAGCATTTCCCATCAACATGGCTGGGGATTTTCTGCCATAGATCCTTTTTATTCAGGATGATTGAAATAAACCCAGTTATTTGGGGCCTGGAACACAGACAAGAAGAAATCATGCATGGTTCTGGATGTGAGGTTTGGCCCAGGCATTCTTGCTAGTAGTGATGGAAATGTGGGGGTAGAGGGGAAAGAGTGGGCAGCAGTACCTGATAACACAAGACATTAGGAGAACCATCTTTTTTCTGGTCTTCTCCTTTATTTTTTAATTTTTGCCAGTACTAAGGATTGAGCTGAGGGACTACGTGTACTAGGTAAGCACACCATCACTGAGCTATATCCCCAGGCTTTTTTTTTTTTAATTGAGACAGAGTCTCACTAAGTTGCCCAAGCTGGGATTGAACTAGAGACCCTCTAGCCCCACCCTGTCAAGTAGCTGGAATCAAGCCTGTGCCATTATGCCCATCAGATCTTCCCTTTTAAACACAGATCATATTTTAGCTTCTTGTCAAATTAAATAATGAATCTTCCTATAGTCAATGTCTGCCAAATTGTCAGCATACCTGGAGAGAATTCTCTAACAGAGCTTTAGTTTTCAGTTACATAAATTGTTAAGTTTAATCAACTATTTCACACATTGGTCCTACTCACCAGCAACTTTCCCTCTTTTTCCTCCAAGACACTCTGCCTAGAAACTTCCAGTTTACCTTAGTCTTTGATTAACCTTCCACTTGTTGCTTCCAGTGGCTCCATAGAGAGACAGCATATCTTTTATTTTTCAAAGAAGTTTTGAACTTAGAGGGACAGGTAATCCATCTTACTTAAACTGGAGTAATTATTCAACTTTTAAAGATGATGCAAGCTGGTATATTAGAGAATGATCATTTATTTACCTGAGTGTCTAAAAACAATATGGTTTCATGCTAGAAAATATTTTAATTTTCACACTGTCTTAAGACTCAATGGAAACGAGCTATCATCACCCTCTTCTTACTAGCAGAATGCTTTGTCTGAAAACTTTCTAAGCAATCATAAGTAATTTTAAAAACCTCTAAAAGAAGTAAATTATTCCATTTACTAGTTTCTAGTGCCTGGGAAATTGTGCTTAAGGGTTTTGCATTGATTTCTTTCAACAGGGTTAATTCAGTTTTTTTCCCCTGATATCATATTAGTTAGATCCTAAATACCTGTATGTTCACAAATTATTCTTTTTAAACTTTTCAATAGAAATAGATTTCTTCTCTAAATAGGAGAAAATCTCTTGAAAAAATGACTCTATCATCACCCTTCAGTTATATCATTCTTGAGTTTAAGCTGTAGTTACACTGAATATGGAAAGATCAAAAGAGAATTTTGGTTTTATATGCTGTCAATAGATTGGAAACTGTAGGCTCAAATTCCATTGAAGTTCTTAACTATGCATCTGCCATTTCCAAGGACAATCACATTAATAGCTGCTGAGAAATTGGAAAAGTAAGTTTAGCATGTCTTTGGTGAAAAAGACAAATTTAAAGTAGGGACAAAGCTATCTACAAGGAATAGCCCAGGCCTGTTCTTTGAGGTAGCCTGTGACATTCAAGGTTCTGATGGGTTAGAAATTCAAAGGATGGTACATAAGAGAAGTGGGAAGAAGTAGAGGATGAGGCGATTAACTGTAACGAAAGAAATGGATATTTTTGCACTATTCTGTTATCCCCTCATCATTGTTACTTAGGAGAAAAGGCATGGAATCTTCACCCTTTCTCAAGTTTGCCTCACGCTTGTTCCCTGGATTGGAGGGAAGGGAAACAGTGAGGGAGCAAAGTGACGTTATTTGTTTTAGGTTTGTTTCTTTAGGTCTTTGTGTTCAAATCTTAGTTTAGTTTTCCTGAGCAGGAGTGGGAAAAATAATTACAATAAAAAAAAATAATAATAGTATTTATTGAACACAAGAACTGTGTCAGGCTCTTTAAAAATATTATTTGATCTGAACAACTTTATCCTATAAGCTTTTCTCTGTAATTTAATATATGTAAACCACATAGAATAGTGAATATAAGAGCCTAAGAATTTTGTTTTAATACTTGTTATGGAGATAAGTGAACTGTACCTTCGAGTGGCATCAGTGCTATGTGGATTCATGATTATTAAATTTTAAAGCCCACCCTCGAAACTACTACATACTATATGTCTCTGTCTTTCAAGAACACACTTTCCTTTACAGACATCTTCACTGATATTCTCCTGGATGTACATTCTAGGACCAAACTTATTTTTTAATTCTGTTATCTGACTAGTTCCAGTTTGTGAGTCCTACGTCCTTTTTTTCCTCCTCTGCACTTATCCCTAGGGAAGTTCATTTTTCACATTATCAAGGTCTGGACCAGATTTATTTAATAAGGATGTGGAATTTTTCTTACAAGATTTTAAAAAGTCAAGTGAGATAATTATATGAAAGGATCTGTGTAGGCTCTTTTTGCATGGTAGGGGGTGGACCAAATTACCTTTGGATCACTTCCACTCATATAACTCACCATTTCAGCAGGACAGCAACATTTCAGGCCAAAGTTCAACTTTTTTTATTATTAAATTCTTTTATTGTCACCAGGAAACTAGAGAAAATGAATTCTTCACAGTATGCTTGTGCATGCAACTTGAAACGGCTTGCACACTAAATGAAATTAAATGAAAGGCAGCTGTTTAGGAAAGAGCTGTCAGAAACTGATTGGGTTTCTGTTAAAGGAGAGGAGAGGAGAGGGTAGGAATACATTTTCAGAAACAGGATATCAGTGGTTGAAAAAGCAAGCAAATTTACATACACCAAAGCTCTTATGTGGTTGTGCCGTTGCATGTTATTTTAGTTTATCCATCTTAAATTAGTATTTGGTCTTGGTGAGTAGGTGTCTGCTTTCAAGGCTTCTTTTCTCATATCAAATGTATGGCAGCTCTTTCTTTTCTGAGAAGTAAATACAGCACAACCCCATTACAATGGTACTTTGGTTTGGGTTACACTGAAAATCCAGTAATGTTCACCAAACCACTTCCTCTACCCAGTACCTCTCTGTTCCTGCCAAAATACACCCAGGGAAGGACCCCCCTTGGGCAGATTGCCAGAGGTGCCACCCAGGTCTCCTGAAATGGCTGCCAGCAAGCAGGGAGCAATTACATCCCAAAACAGACTCAAAGCAGATGGTCATCTGTGGTGATAAGTGTTACATTATCAAGCCTTTGATTTGTGGTTGTACTTTATGCTTCCCAGGAACTCATGTTATGTTACCCCCGTGAAGCCCCTCCCTTGGCCTTATTGCCTATTGCTTGAGCATGTGTTCTTATAGCTTACCCTCAGTCCTCCTACTGCTGAAAAACTTTACTCTGCACCCTCAACCCTGTTGCTAAAGGGCAGTTCATGTAGGATTTCTGCCAGTTCCTCCAGCAGTAGGTACGGTGTTATGCATTGAACTCTTTTAAAGCAATTTTTAAAAAGCCCTTTGGGGTTTTACTATTGAAGCATAACCTATCTACTACATAACCTTCTACAGGAAATTCAGTTAGCATTCAGAGTTAGGAATTCTACTATAATGTTGGATTCATGCACCTTTATTCTCTGCAGCTTCTTTTTATATTGGATTTTTCTGTTTTCAATCCTATTAACTATGGTCTCCCATGGTTCACTGGGGACCAATCTCAACTTCCTTCATGTGAGATCTTGCTGTCCCTTCAGCACGTTCTTTGTTTTTTATGATTTAAAATACAAATGCATACTCTCTCCTTTGACTAAGATTAGGAGTCATATGATTCATAGGGTACCCAACTATAACTGCCATTCTCCTCCATAACCTTATCACAGTTTGGATCATATTGTGACTCCCGGAGTATCTGAACCAGGTCTCCAGAGACCATCAAATGGAACCAGATCCAGTCTCACAAGCCAACCACAGGTGTACATTTTCAAACTTCATCAGAATCCTCCTGGGGATCCTGTAGTTTTCCATTTACAATGCCACGTTTAGAAATAAGAACAAAAGATTAAAATACCAGTAGTCCCTAATTTAGAGCCAGCCTGGTCTCCCCACAAGAGAAGAGTGCTAGCAAATATATCTTGATTGTTTCCCCCATTTTCTCTGATACGATTTACATAAGCAGCCTACTGGTAGTCTTGGTACCACTCCTGCACTTGGTACCATTTACACAAAGTAGGTGGGCACAAGGCAGTAGGCACCAGCAAGTTTTAGTATCTTTAAAGGAGATTTTCTGAAATAGATTAATGCCATTACTGAAAACAAGGTGGGGACTTACCAGTGATCATGGTTTTTTTGTTTGTTTGTTTTTGGTACCAGGGATCAAACTCAGGACCTTGAGCTTTCGAGGCAGGCACAGTGCCACTGATCTAAATCCCTGGCCCAGTGATCATGTTGATGTGAATGTCTGAGTCTAAATTCTAGAACTTCTTTTGTTAACTTGTTTGAATGTTTCCTTCTCTTCTCTTCCAATTGAGCTCCACAGTAGATACCAAAAATATTCTTCCTAATAATCAAGGTATCCTCTCATTCCATGAGAGTCATGGTTGTAACAAGTTTATAGAAATGTGGAATATTCTATTTTCCATGTATCACAAAAAGTCCTGTTCTGTTGTCACCTAGTTAGAGATTTAACTATTTGTATCACTTAATTTATCTATTCAGCCACAGCTTCCCCTCTCATTTATTCAGAAATGTTTATGGAGAACTTATGTGCTGGGCACTGTTCCAGGACTAATGTTAGAAAAATTGGTAATACACATCCCCTGTTCTTAAGGAGCTTATTGTATTGTGAGTTGTGAGGAAAGTGTTTTTCTAAGTGTTTATGTGATGATTATTTGCTGTTAATCATATTTATATCCATAACAGGCCACAGCAATTTGTTTCTCTCCATCATTTAGCCAATATAATATTTATCCCCTTTACAATACGATCAGCCTTTTTGCCTGGCTGGCCTACGATGACAAAATGTGCATAGAGATACACAATGACACAGGCACAAATATAGTTCTTCATGCAGAATTCTTATTCTGCCATAAATGTAGTTCTTTATTCTGAATTCTTGGCAAGTTTTAATTTTTAATGTGGTGAGCCTGAGCTATAGTAATTTGGATTTAATTATCATGTGATCAAGCTATGGCATTTGTTTTTAGTGTAGCCATAGGAAATCAAAGTCAGCAGCTGGGCTGCAGCTGTGTCCCAGCTGTTTTTATCTGAGTAAAATTCAGAAGAAACAAAGGCATTAGGCTTCCCAGGCTCCCCAGTTTCAGGAGATAGTCCTTGGTCGAACCAGGCAATACCGCCAGATGCTTTTGAAGCCAGTGCAATTAACACTCAGGAAGTAAGACTTTAAATAAAAAGGTACTAAGAATATAGCGCATGTTTAGCTGACATGTCATCATTGTTTTCTTCTTTATAAGTTAAATAAACTCACCACATAGAAAGAATATTTACCTTATATAATTGGACAGTATTTCCCTAAATTACAAAGCTATGTTCTTTAAGATTGGTTGTCTTAAAATTCTCTAAATTGCCTGGAAATATTTTATTTGCTATGGAGTAGGATAGCATATTTGTCTTTAAAATATATTCAGTTATTTTACTGAGTTTATTCTTTCTAGAGTTTGTGTCTGTTCTTTTTAGTGATCTTGGAGGAAAAGTATTATTTGTAACTTACATTAATCAATATTGTCCCCATTATAGAAGATACTATAATGAAAACTGGAATAAAATTTTCCTATGCATAACAAAGAATGGCAAATATCCAAAATATATTAAGAATTCTACAAATCATTAAAACTCAGTTCATAAGAAAAACAGGTAAGAGTTTTAAACAAGTACTTTGTAGATGAAAAACGATTGCCAATGATAACCTTATTAACACTCAAGGAAATGCAAATTTTAGTGTGTTCTATGGGAAGACTCTTTCTCATGCATTAAACTGTCACCATAAAGGTGTGATACTCAATGAGGATGGTCCAACTAAAGGCTCCCTCATACTAGGTATTCTTCAAGGTTCTCTTTGGAAGGAGTTCTCACAGTACAAGCAGCTTTTTTTAAAAAAAATTATTTTATTGGTATATATTTGGTATACAATATGTTTACATTTATCATTGGGTGCTTGTACCTGAACATGATGTATCTTGGTTCTTATTTTTTTCCCCATTACCCGTGTGCCCTTCACCCCCTCCACCCTTCCCTATTTACATAGATTTCGTTTCCATTTTTTTTCTTTTCTCATAATTTTTCTTTTCCCTTCTTTCCTTTCCCCTTCCCTCCCACGACCCCTACACCTTTGGACCTTTTAATATTTCAAATTATCAGATATTAATTTTAATCATTTTCATCCTTATTTACACTTTCAGTTTCTCACACTAGAGAAACTATTTGGTATTTACACATGTGTGTCCTATTTATTTCACTTAAGAGTATGGCCTCAATATGCATCCATTTAGCTATAAATGTCTCTAGTTTCTCGTTCTTTATGGCTGAGTAGTACTCCATTTTATTAAAAAAACACATCTTTATCCAGTTTCCAGTTGATGGGTGCTTGGGCTGTTTCTAAGCTTTAGCTATTACAAACTGTAGTGCTATAAACATGGGTGCGCGTATATCACTGTTGTATGATTCTTTTAATTCTTTGGGGAAGTTACCCAGAAGGGGAATAGCTGGGTCAAATGGGACCTCTAGTTCTTTGAGGTATCTCCATATTGATTTCCACAGTGGTTCCACCAGTTTACACTCGCACCAGCAGTGGAGCCAGGGTTCCTTTCTCCCCACACCCGTGCCAGCATTTGTTATTGGTTGATTTCATGATAGCAGCCACTCTTTCTGGAGTGAGGTGGAATTTCAGCGTTGTTTTCATCTGCATCTCTCAAATGACCAGTGATGCTGAACACTTTTTCATATGTTTCTTTGCTATTTCTACTTCTTTGTCTGAGAAATGTCTGTTTGTTTCAGATGCCCATTTTTGAATTGGGTTTTTGACAAGCAGCTTTTTTCAGTACTGGGGATTACGCTACTTCTCCAGACCTTTTAAAATTTTTTGTTTTGTTTTATTTTGAGATAGGTTTTGCTAAGTTGCCTGTTTTGGTCCCGAACTTGCAATCCTCCTGCCTCAGCCTCCAAGTAGCTGGGATGACAGACATATGTCACTGTGCCCAGCTAGCAGCTTCTCACACAATCTCTGCAGCATGGATGTTTTATTTTGTAATTAGATCTGATTCTTTAGAGAAGCTTTTATGACTTTCAAAGCTAAAGAAGTTTTTCTCTCATGTATGAATGTTCTGATGCATACTGAGAACTGATTACCTGGATACCAGGGTATGTGGATGGAGCCCTTTGCACAATCACTCTGTTGATGGGATTTACCTTAAACATGTTCACTTTAAGGTTTCTTCACATTTCACCTGTGGAGGCCTCCCCACAATTAGTTTATGTGTAGATCTCTCTCCTGTCAGAATTAGATGACGCAGTGAAAGATGTGGTTGCCTAGCAAAAGACTTCTCATATATAGTATATTCATGAGGTTTCTTCATAGTATTAATTTTGTGATGAATAATCAACTCAGACTTCCGTGTGGAAGGCCACCAACATGCAGTATGAACATAGTTTCTCCCTGGCATGAATCTTCTGATATGAAAGAGGATTTAATCTTGTGGTGAGTTTTTCCACACAGAGTACATATATGGCTTTTCTTCTGTGTGAATTCTTTGATGAACTAGGAGTGTGTCACCCTACTTGTTTTATTATTTTTTCCTAAATATTTATGATTATTGTTTAGTGACAGCCATCTAATTCTGAGCCATGGCAGACCCTTCAGCTTCACTGACCACATGCTCAGCACCAACTCTTGTATATATTTGTATTTCAGTCTATTAAGGTGGAATTGGATTATTTTCTTTTACATAATTGAAATTTTCTAAACTGTATTATTACAAAACCATTTGTTTTATACTGACTCATTTATATAAATTATATATTGACTGGCTATAGAATAAAGCCTTAAGTTATATAATTTGATGTAATACGATCGAATGACAGTTTGTTTTCTAATCTACCATCTTTGTGTGATAGTTTTTTTTAAGATTTGACTTGATCTTTTTTTGTATATAATTCTAGTTTTTGGACTTTATTAATATATTTTATCCCATCCTACCCCCCCCCAACTCCTTCCCTTCCCTATGTACAAAAGCTTTGTTTCCATTTTTTCCTTCTATTTTTCACTTTTACCAAAACTTTTGAGGAATATATGCAGCATTTTGTTATTAAATTTGTGCAGTTATATATGATGGCTTCTGGGTTTTGTTTTATATCAACATGCTGATATTGTTACAGCAAGAATATATGTTTTCTTACCATTATTATCCCCATGAATTTCTTATCAAATATAGGCTACATATTCATCAGTTTGCATTTAATTGTCATAGGTTTAATGTAGCAGATACTGTTAAAGTGGACCCTCAAGTTACGACCCACCTGACATATGAACGACTTGGGTTGCAACCAAAATTTTAGTTTTAACTTATGATTGAGTTGCAACCTGAATGCTGGCCGCTTGTGCTTCCAGATGGTCTCAGATACAGATTTAACCCTTAAAGAGTTCTGGAAGGAACATTACAACATCCTTTCCTGTGTGGGATTAATTGTGAAATCCTGGGCCAGTGTCTCTCTAAGGACACTGAGATCTACCTGTGTATAGGAGAGAGACTTTGAAGGCTGTGCAGAGAAGCCTGAGCTGTCAGTTGACCAACTTGAGTTACAACCAGCTCTCGAGAATGAATTGAGCTTGTAAGTCAAGGGTCCACTGTATTTTCAAGTCTTTGGTAATGTTATTTTTATTGAACATCAAAGGAGTGGCAGTTAATTAGCAATTACATTTTATTTCTGTAAGCACTGTTTATTGAATGTTCCTATGTAACAGGTACTGTACCAAATATTTCATGTGCTATCTTATTTAATTGTGTTAGTGATTTTCGATATGAAGCTAGATTTTTAAGTTGGTGATAGTTTCATCCTGGCTACATAGAGTATGGGTAGCAGTGATTTGAAGTAATTCATTGAGAAACTTTATAAAACTAGAGTATAGAAGTAAGTCACTCAAGTCTTGTTCAGGTGTAAAATTTTTCTCTTAGCCTTCATAGGATTTTGCTCTTTGATTAGTGAGAAATACAGTCTTCTATTGAAGCAGAGTTTGAGAGTCATGAAATTATATTGAAAACATTTGGTTTTTATTATCTAACTTTTAGTAAATTACTACATTTTTGTTGCAATTCCCAACTGGAAATGCTGAATGAATGTGATAAACTGTTACCAAGGTGCATTTTCTGTATTCACAGGCTCAGAGCATCTGTGAGTACT